CAAGCGCCCTAAACCCTAGCCCTAAACCCCCAAACCCCCAAACCCCCTAAACCCCTAAACCCTAAACCCTAAACCCTAAACCCTAAACCCCTAAGCCCTCGATCGCTCCAGGGCTCTCAGTTCTTCGTGCTTCTCCGACGAGGGTCGGTCCACTTTGGACCTAGGCTTCCTTTAAAGGGACCTACGGTTTAAGGGTTTAGGGTTTAGGGTTTAGGGATATTATACCTATAGCCTCCACTGTAGTTCCTTTTCTTGGTTTAACCATTTATATATCAAGGGTCCTATAAGGCAAACCCCGAAAAGGAACTACAATGGAGGCTACTACAGGTAACCCCCTTAACCCTAAAATTGGACCCTAGCGTAACCCCCTAAGAAAAACCCATGAAGCCAAAACGCTCCCTTATCTTTAAGCCCTAGAGACTCAAATTCGACCAACTTCAGATCCAGAGATTATGCTTCTGAGGTTTGCGAGATATGCGGGAGACATGACCCTGAACCCTAAACCCTAAACCCTAAACCCTATCATTCTTTGAGGGTTTGGGGTCTGAGGCTGAGGGGCTTTGGGAGTCGGGTGTAGGGCCTCCTGCAGCCCATGAACTTTACAAACTTAGGCTTCACCAGAGACGGACAGGGGTGGTTTATAAGTTTATGGGAGTTTCTCAAAAATAGCGGGGTAACTTATTTTAGGCTCCTTATAATAAGGATCCTACTATCTAGGCTACTATAGTAGGGTCCCCTATTTTCGGAAGCCCCCTTATAGCTCTTGATGCGACGCAGAAACCCTAGACACTTCAGCACTCGTGGGTGAGGCTTGGGGTTGAGTCGTTTCAGTATTCCGGGCCCCAAAACCCTATTCCAATTATTAAGACCCCTACATTACCCCGAACTGAGAAGCATTGGGGTAGCTCTCTAAAATACTGTAAGGGTGCCGAATTTTTTTGCGGACCTAATGGGACCCTAATTTCGAGAATTACCCGTTTGGCCCATTTGTCAATGAACAGCGGTGCACGCCTTTGGGCAGTCTTTTTGGTTCGCAGCTTCCCTCAGCTGTGCTGTCCCCAATGCTAGCCCCTAATCCTGCGCAAATGTAGGGGCCTTAATAGTTACAATTTTTGGGGGTTCCTTATTATAATTCTAGTATCATATACAATCCCAAACCCTATTCCAATTATTGTACGGCCCCTATATTATGCTGCTGTGCCACTGAGGTGCGAAAGTTCTTGCGCTACATCTTCGATTACCTTCAGATCCTCACCTTTCTGGATGTGCCTTGCGGGGACATGACGTGGATGCCAGAGGTGGACCTGAGGGGTGTCGAGTATTTTGGTGGTGACCTGTCCCTTAGTTCTCCAATAGCCAACCTTCAAACTTTTTGGGTTCTTATAATTGAGTAGTAATCTGAAAGTTCAACAATACCCAACCTTTAAACCTTTTTGGGTTCTTATAATTTAGTCGTAATCAATCTGAAAGTTTAACCTTTTATTTCCCTGGCTTATTGGGGAAGTAAGGTCGTCTGCGCTGGTGACGAGTCATCTCCAGCGCTTTGCTGGAGATAGGCGTTTCGCAAACAAGTTCGCTCGGTTCGACATCACCTGTATGATACCACCACGAGTTGACCTGATCCATGCCCGAGATGTCTTCATGCACATCGATACCGACTTGTCGCTTAGGGCTATACGAAATTTCCAAAGGAGTGGATCCAAATACCTCGCGGTTCCACATTGGCCGTTTTCCGATGGTTCATCCAACGAATATCACCCTGCTGACTTCGAGATGGCTTATCAAACCGTGCACAACCTGAACCCAAAGGCATCCCAAGTTATAGGATATCACCACTACAACCTCGAGCTGCCTCCCTATTGCTTCCCGGCACCCTTATACTGGATTCGCAATTCCGCCATCGGTGAGCGGAATGGATGGCTGGGAGTTTGGGCTTTGCCGGCGCTGGGACGTGGGCAGCACTCAAAGTGCCTAGCCCATACTGCGTGGTTCGACACCATTTGCGACAGCCGCTTCAACTGTTTCGACACCCAAGAAGAGCGCCGCGACTGCTTGGCCGGAAACTCCAGAGCGGGATCCCCATGTTGTACTGCATTACATCTCATTCAGAGGTTACATAGCCTGGACACGGGCGCGATGTGGTTCGTAGAGCCGCAGGAGGTGCAATCTTTGTGCTCGGATTTCGTGCGCCTGCCGATGGGGTCGCTTCTGTTGGAGGAGCAGATGACCGTATGCTCGCGGGCCGTGCTGGCCTTGGCTGAATTTGCCTACGAGACACACGCTGGCAAGGCAACGCATGAAAGAACAAACGAATCTTGCTCGACAGTGTCCGTGCATGCCCGCTACCCTCTTATAGAAGAGGAGGACATGGTCCTCTCCGAGCAACACCAGAAGCAACGCCTGCAGTGGTGGGACAGGGCCTACCGCATTCACACGCACTTGGGTTCTGGCTGGTCATACCAGCTCAATGGCAGGAAGTTGTTGATGTCGCTGGCAAATCACACTGCAGCTTGCGACGAACTGGAGCAAGGATGTGCCTTGTTCAACCCCTGGGTGCCACAGCGATGCTTTCCTCATCATCCCTTGGTGAGAGCATGGTCCCCGTCCTGCAGAAAGAGGCTTCAGATCCCAAGAAGGCCTCTCCGAGCCTCCCCGCAGACGGCAGCTAGTATGTTCAGTGGTATCATGTTGTGTTTGCTTTTGTTGTTTCTGGCCCCTTACTATATTATTTTCTTTGTAACCTTATTATACTATTTTCGTTTTAACCTTATTATACTATTTTCTTTTTAACCTTATTATACTATTTTCTTTTTAACCTCAGAAAGTTTATACTTTTTTCCCAGTGGGTTGCTGAAGAGCCCAGGTAAGAGACTGGCTCGGCCTTCGACTAGACTGCGGTCACAGCGACACTGAGGAAAGTGGCCCCGTCCCAGAGATCCGACCCCAGATGTCCGTGACACTTGGCTGAGGGATCACAAGCCTTAACCCTAAACCCAAACCCTAAGCCCTAAGCCCTAAACCCTAAACCCTATGCCCTAAACCCTAAACCCCAAACCCGAATCCACATGCTGCTTAGCAAAGGAGTCGGAGTGACTAAAAACTATGATTTGTCCTCC